TCTAAAGATGCTCATCTTTAAGTTTTTAAAAATTAATGGATTTTTATAAATCTAATTTTATAATCAATAAATATAATTAATGATAAAGTTAGGTCAGGGTTCAAAACATGGGTCATCACGATTCCATTTGTGAAGAAATTTTAATGGGTAATAGTTTCAAAGTCATATCACTTTAGTTATTTTTTTTTAAATCAGGAATATCTCCAAATACACTTACGGACTTAAAAGTGAATTTTTGGTTAATATGAGCCATTTGGCAATTCTTTGATCCTGGATTTCCCCACATTTCTGTTTGTTATACTATCATCAGAAGTTATCTTATGAAACACATGAAACACACTTAATAAGACTTTCATTTGAAATATAATATAATTAAGAAAAACAAAACTGGAGTTAAAGTAGCAAGTTTTAAAATTAAGTAAAAGCAGCATTTACCCCCTGGGAGGACTGAAAGAGGTAGCAAGAGGGTGTGTGGGCTGGGCTGATGGTGGTCCCTTCATCTACTGTTGTCAGTTTATGAATATTCACCAACTGCATCCTTAAGATATGTACCCTCTACTATATGTAAGTAATACTTTAATTAAAATAAAAACGTTAAATAAAACCAGAAATCCATGAAATTTTAGTTAAAGAGGTTGCTGAATATGGGAGCTACTCTATGACTTTTCAGTTCAAATTGTGTCTACCTGGTGCACCAAGAAGATCTGAGGCAAGGGGTTCCCAAACTCTCCCATGGCTCTAGCCTCATTCTTTGGTTAACTAGCTGCTTTAAATGTCAAGTTTAAAAATTTATAAATTTATAAATCTTTAAATGTCAAGTTTAAAATTTATAAATCTAAGTAAAACATGGGAAAATACCCCCAACAAAATAATGCCATTCTCAAATCATTCTATCTTGCTTCAAATTGGGCCCAAAATCCATCAACAAACATTAACAGGATACCTACTGTGTGCAAGTGTCATGATAAATATACAGAAAAAGAAAAAGGAGCCAGACCACATAAGTGTCTACTCTTTAGTTGTACAGACAGGACATAATACAAATGAACAGACGACAGTGTTCCTAGATGATATGTTAATAAGTACCAAATACTGATGCAGTGCTAGGCTTGCTGTGTGCTGGGAGGTCAGGTTTTCTAGACCAACACACTAAAATTTACTTACAAATTGTATATTTTTATTGTATATTGTATACAATAAAATTGAAGTGGTTGGTGAGATTTGTGTTGGATTTACAAAAAAAAATAAATAAATAAGAATAGGTAACATTCTGGTGTGTTATTTGGCAATATTTAGCTATGAACCTTTTTGACACAGTTATAAAATAATGGCACACTGTCATTGAGGAGTGTATGTAGAAAGCAGAGTTCTAGATAAAAATTGAGAATAATAATATAATTCTGTTAAGTATAAATCCATAAGTATGTTGCTATGGCTTAAACATAAGTATGAAATCAAATGCTATATCATTTAGTAAATATTTCTGTATATATTTTAAACAATTTAACAAGTTCTTTGAAATTGCTAAGACTCCAAAATAGCAACAAAACCTTTTAAAATTAACTTTGAGAAAACAGTGAAACCTATATAAGAAAAACCATGTCTTACTGGGCAATTAAATTCAATATTTAATTGAGATATTAAACATTCTTGAATATATAAATCAAACTGTAAAAATTCAGTTTCTTCCTCAGTTTTAAATTCCAACAAAAATATTAATGGTCCCAAAATGTGTACAGAAAATTAATAAATAAGAACATAAGTGAATGCTTTGAAAGTAAAAGGGACAACCAAAGGTTTTTGAGTCTTCCTGAAAACAAATCAGAACAACTAGAATGGAAACAAAAAACAAAGAAAGCTGCATAGATTCAATCTACATAGAATTTTCTGAGTTCCAGAAAAAAGACCCTACCAAATAACAAAATCATAGAGTTTCAGACAACATTCTTGGGTGTATACATTAATTTTATAGTAGTACTAAACAAAATAAATTTTCCCTGCACAAAAGGATAGTGACAATAACAACAGTCCAGGTGATTTCATTGATAATGAACAGCATATATTACCTGTCACTAAACTCTCATCTCCAAACCTTCCATCTCGGATCTATGAATGTTATGAGTATACAGAGAGAGATATAGAGATATGCACTATGTACAATATATATACACACATCATATATGTGTATATATCATATATGTACATATATACTGTACATATATACTGTATATATGTACTATGTACAATATATATACATGATATATACTATATATCTATATGCATATGTACTATACATATATTCTATATACAGGGATGAGTGAAAGTAGGTTTACAGTTGTCAGTACACAAAACAGAGTTTATTCTTGTATTATTATTTACTGTATTATTTTCCAAACAAACAACTCTAAACTACTTTTGCCCAACTCTGTATACTATATTAAAGGTCTATAAAAACTGGAGGTAAAACATGATGACAAGAGTGATTATATCTGGTTTGTGAAAACCGGATAATTTTGATTCACTTAGAATTTTCTGTTATTCTCTAAGCTTTGTAAAAATTGCAAATTATTTGGGGAATTTTCTTCATCAGTATACAATTTTTGGTGCCATAAAAACACAAATATGAAAAAACATGCACATAGGAGGAGTTTTAAAATATTAATAGAGGCCACTTTGGGAAAGTAAAACTCAAGAAGTTACTGATTTATTACTACACTCTTTTCTCTTCTTAAATCTGCTGAGCCTATATCCTCTTTACAATGGTAAAGGTTTATTTTTAAAACTAATATGTAGAGGCAGGGAGATACTAGCACAGAAGGTTGAAGATGACTGAAGCATCCCTGATCAATACTGAAGCTCATTACATCACAAAATTAATTAAAATATTTTATTTACTACAGATAAACAGATTAATAAAACAATAAAAAAGTCTCCAAATACATTCAACTACACATAAGGAACTTAGTATAATACACTAAGCTTTCTATTGCAAACAAGTTAAAAAGTAACCCCTAATAAATGTGGTTGAGATATTTAGCAGCAGTTTGGAAGGAAAAAATAGAAGGGGAAGGTAAAGGTAGTATGACATAGTTATCAAAGTAAACGACAGAAGGATTAATGAGTTAAATAACAAACTAAAACACTAAATTATAAAAAGGTCAAAACAGCAGAGAACAGACTATACTATTTAAGAGGCTATGAACAAATACATTTTTAGTTTTGATGTATGAGAGATAATCAAAAGGAAAAGTTTACCACATTAAAATAGATGTTAAATCTCTGTACAAGCTTTAAAAAGCAGCAAAATATTGTGAAAATATTAATATCAAAATTTTGATACACAATATGTCTAACATAGAGTTTATTCAAATTATAAAAAAATAGGAGAGACAAATGAGAGAAGTTATAAAGAATAATTAGCAGAATTCATAAAATCAGAAGTTATCAAAATATGGGGAAAGAATTCTTATTTGTAAGCAAGCAACACATTAAATTTGAGATACTGTCTTACAGATACTAAACTAGCCAAAATAAATTTTAAAACAAAATGCTGTAAAACTATGGAGAACTTGTACACTACATTTTAATTGCACTTATAACTCATTTTGAAAGCAATACAGCAAAAGGTAGCAAGGGTGATAAAGATGTTGATCCTCTCTAGCTCAGACACTTCATCTACAGAATTTATATTGAGCATATAATTCCTCATAAACAAAGAGACCTGCACAAAAATTTTGGCATATACCATTACAGAAAAAAGAAAGGAAATAATTATGTTAAATAACTATAATGAAGAAGCTAATATAGATGTGTGAGATTACTCAGCAATAAGGAAAATGCTTAATATATAATAAGTGAACACAAAAATATGCCATAATATAAATGCTATATTTTTTCAATTACATAGAAAATATAAATGATAAAATGCAAAATGTGAAAATAATTGATATGTTAAAGTTTAGTATGAGTGTTTCCTAGTTTAAAAATATTTAAACCCAATTGTTTCAAAGCTATGATAACCAGATAAAAATATGGTTTTACAAAATAAAAAAAAAATTATGACTACCTTTAGAGAAAAACAAGTTTACAGTCAGAGCACCTAATGTTTGTATGTGTGTGTGACAGAAGAACACCTAGTCTCTATGTCTCTCAAACATTTCTCTTCAGAAGTACAAAGATATATAAATAATTACACAAGTTCTGTTTACCTCACAGTCACTGTGAAGATTAAAGGAAACAGTAGGTGTGACAATACTTATCCTAGTACATTCCTACCTGGCACACTCTAGGTGCTCAAAAAATGTCCTTCCATATAAAGGAGAGTAATGCCAAGGATTTATTAGATTCTGATATTAGTAAATGCAATGCAAAGGTTCTTCTTTATCTTTAAAATGAAGGAACTAAGGTTGAGCATTTTAGGAGGCCCCACCAAATCTGAGGCTTCAGGGGTCTTTAAAATTCTGTGGAACAAGTGGAACATGAAGAAAGGCAGAAACCAAGAATATGTGGATCTCCTGGAAAAGTATACATTAAAGAAAAGCTTTAAAATCAGGATGTGTGTATAAAATAAACTTTGTTTAAAGCAAGAAACAAAACAAAGCACAAACACACACCTGCTTCATTTGATTTCACCCTCAGGAAATGTTCGTCTTGAGCTGAACGTCCATGACTCAGGTTGAAAAAATGCAATTCTATACTAACATGTAGTGCTTTTTTCTGGAGCGGTGGACAATGCCTCTAATATAGGAGTGAATGATTGTGTGATGAGAAACATGTGCCCCCTTTTCCTCCTCAACACTTCCATGCACAAAGTCTGCTCATTGGAGGACAACGTGCTGTGCAGCCCATGAAACCTGCCAGTGCTCAGGCTTGCTGTAAAGCCCCATCTGGCTAGACGGTAAATTCTGCAGTTTCTAGATTATGTTCACCTCTCACTCCCCAAACCTGTGGAGGCTGGGATCTCTGATTCCTAAAGGCTTCTTTCTGTGCCCCAAACGTACCTGTTTCTTCTGGACCCTGAATGGCACGCTTATTCCTGATGCTTTGACTGAAGTTGCTTTTTCCTGAAGCTGGTGGTGCAAAGATCCCCTAAGAGGAGAAAAACCCCAAGTTATGGCAAAGACATCCGAGGTAGGAGAGGCAGCACTGTGGGGAGAACTGTGCCTAGGGCTTCAGCTGCTACAGACTTACTTTCAGTGCAGAGGGGGCTGCTGCAGCCTCACGCACAGCTGCCCTGGGGGCTGCTGCTCCGGCCCGGGGAGAGCCTGGCAGCTGCTCGGCTTGGTGCTCCTGCAGTTCCACCCGGAGGCTGCTCAGCTCCGCTTGCAGGGCAGCCACTCTGCAGAAGGACACCACCGTGAGGCAGCAGGACACCAAGGCCAGCAGCAAGGTCAGGGCCAACAGAATCCCACCTCTGGAGGATCGGACAGAGGGGCTTTCCTTCTGGGGAAGGATGGAGACAGGCTCCTTCAGTTTCATTTCTTCTCTTCGCTTAGGACAAGAAGAAAGGAGTGACTGCTTCCCTTCTGCGAAGTCATTCATTTCACTCCTTACACTTTGAAGGTTTGGGTCTTTAGAATAAGTGACCACAGGGAACAGATCATTTCCTGTTATCTGTGTTTGTTGATGTCCTACATTGACTACTGCAGCCAGCTTGGCTCTTGCCCTCAGGAGAATTCTCCTGAATTTTCTTCTCCCTGCACTGCTGCATCTCTGCCCCTACGTACAATAGGTCTTCCTGGCACTTGCACTTCCAGCCGATTGCTCAATCGGTCTTCCTCATTTCACTTTCAGTTTTTGTAAGAATTTTAATGGCATCTCAAAACATTCATACACAAACGAGTCCCTTAAATCTATTGATCTGACGGAGCTTTGGGTCTGGATCAGCACACTTGAGGGAGCCTCTAAGCGACGCAGGTGTTTAAGGGGCTCCCCCGTTGGCATTGTGAGAGATCTGGGTCTGCTGGGGGCCATGTGGCTCTGCAGGGAAGGGGAAAACGAACAATGAAGTTCCTGCTCGTGTAATAAAAATAATTAATGTGAAGGTCAGATAAGCTAAGTGCCCTAGCACTGAACCCTACTCAGCTGGAGAGTGATTTATTAACAGCCCTCAAGCAGGAAAGGCAGTATACTCAAAGGAGGCATGGAAGTCCACTGGGGGGTAAGTAGCCTATTATTTTCTTAGCAACGTAATAAAAAGAATGTGACTAAAATTTGCAAACCTGTTTAGATTAGATATGATGAGGGTTCTTTTCACGGGAAGGTGATACACTTTTAAAGGGAAACGTGCATCATCTTTTTCCACGTGGGACTCACTGCTAGGGAGTCAGATACTAGACAACTCGTCCTGAGGAGGTGTCCCACCTCTGCCGTTCCCACTTCTGGAGCTGCAAGTACCCTTCAGTCTGACACTGTTCTGAGGAGAATCAGCCTTACTTCCAGCTCCAAATGCCCCAGTCCCACCATTAATTGCTCTTTCCTTAAAACCTTATATACTAGTCCATGTTATGTTGACTTGGCCCCAATCTAACATGTATAGAAAATAACCTGATTCAAACTGGGGTCACTTCAGCTTCATGTGTCTAGTGTTGGACTTGGTGTTGTTACAAGGACACCAATCTTGAATTGTCTTGATAGCCAGCTCCTGGACATTCTGTGGTTTCTGGTTGCCTTGCCCCCAGCACCTGCATATCCTGTAAGGAGCTCCCACTTCAACAACTGAGTTACCAAGCACTTGCAAAGGCCTGGTGAGGAATAAGTCCCCGGGTGCTAAGATTGTGAAGCATCAGCTCTATCTCACTGCACATTTCTATGTCATCTTCAAAAAGACATTTACAAAAAATAAGTAAAGGTGAGTAAGGGCTCCACCCCTTACTCTCCTTAGGCAAAATGTGTAACCTCTCTGTGATTCATTTTCCTCATCTGTTAAATGGGATGATAACTGTCCCTGAGATTTGTAGTGAGGCTTACAGAAATGTAGAACAAACTACATTTTAAGATACTCCCATTTTTCATTCATTTTTATTCATTGCAATCATTCATTACATGAAATATTTTTCATTACAAAGTCCCACAACAGACATCTTGGGGCATGTCTTCTTGTAACATCTGAAAGAGTTTCCCAAGCAAACACCTGCTGAAGAATAGGCACATCTTCACCTTTACCAGATGGCACTGAGTTACCCTCCCATGAGTTCCCGTTTCCTCATTGTCTCACCAAGTGTGACTTCATCAGACTTACTCATTTTTACCTACTGGGACTGTTATTTTTTCCTTCGTGTCCAGGAGTTCCAAGACTTCTTTAATAAAAAACTTAAAAAATTATTTTAATCATTACATGGTCTTCCAAATTAGCTGTTCTCTAGTCTCCCAAATGGAAGTCTTCTGAGTATGCAAATTCTTTTGCATTAGACATCACATAATACAAACCTTCTGTCACGGTCCTGGTTTCCATGTCAATCACGGTGACAACTTAATAAAAGCATCAGTTTGGGAATTATATTAAACAAAGTAATTGAACCTCACTCAGGTTATATGTGTGTATATTAATATTACCTGAAAACGTAGAAACAAAAGAATTCAAGGCAGTGCTAGAAATCAGTTACTCTCTTCTTTCACTCAGGACACCCATAGCCACTGCTTCTTTCTAGGAGTCAACCTCCTTCCATTTATGACTGGCCACTCGTCTCCATATTCTGTTGTGAAAGTTCTGAAGAGAAAGGAAAAAATTAACTGCTTTAGAGAATTCCTCTGCCTCTGTTGGGCAGAGAACTTCACTGACGACCATCTCACGAGAGAGCCACTGACCAGCCTATATGCAGGCCATTTTAAAACATGTAGCCCATCCTGGATCAAGCAGTGGGCAACCCTGAACAAAGAGAGAGCTAGTGCTTCCTCCAAAAAAGGCAGCAGGAAGGCCTCCCCCTGACCCAGACATGGTGCAAGCAGTCATTGCCCTTTGCATGTTCACCATAACGATCACACAATTAAATTTCTCTGAAGACAGGTAGAAAACTAAGTGGCATTCATCTGCCTTTGAATCTTATTAGAGGAACAAAAGGAAGTTATTATTCCATAAATTAAGAATGTTTCCTGTAGAGGAAATGGTTTGACAGTAATACAACTGAAATTCTGTTCAACAAACAGCATGTTTATATTCATTGAGTAATACACCAAACCACAAGTTTATTCAGGGAGGAAAAGCTACCGTACCTGAGCCCCAGAGTTCCCTGTCAGTATTTTGCTACTTTTTACTCACTTCTTTTTCTCAACTGGAATGTAAAGCATTTTCCTGTGACATACCTATACCAAATTTAATAAACAAATCGAGATACCAAATTCCTTGTCCCATCCACTCAGGAGTGGGCACTTAGGAACATGTGAGGGTGCATTTGAAAAGAATTTAAGTTATCCAAGGGACTAAACCCACAGCATAAAACACACACCCACTCTTTGAATGCTTGCTTCTTATACTGACAACCTCACCAATATTCAAGAAATTTAAAAATAAACTTCTGGCTTAATAGTACTATGAAAAATTAGAGGTTTTAGGAAATCTCTCCTATATTCCTCTCTTTGAGGAAAAAGTGTCTTTCATAAGGATTTGGAGCACTCAAGCATGGAGACAAAGTTTTTCTAGATATGCAGATGTACCTAAAAACAGATTTGGGTAAAAATGGCTTCTAACGTCCTCAGAATATGGAAAATAGTTTCATACAAATAATTATTACATTTCAGAAAAAAAAGAGCCATTGTCTGGTAGAAATAGATATACAAGCCTTGGTTTTTATAGTTATAGTGAAAATTGATTTGGAAGGCTAAGTGCTAACCACCTGTACAACTTAATTGCAAAATAATCATATGCTTTAAAAATTGTACAACTCTGGTAATTTCTTATACGAAAAATAATGTTAGTGTCTGACAAGGCTGATTTCTTTCTTAATATTACATTAAAAAGAGAAGTGCGCATGCATTTACTGGAGCTTAATTTTTGTCACTGTTAGAAAAAAAATGCACTTTGGTAAGAACTTCACTTTCATTTGTGAATACGTCCTCAATTTGTTGTGTAACTGCTTTCAAATGGAATGCTCTTTAATATTAGGGTTTAAGTGTATTTTAAAGAAATTTCTGTGTATTCAATACTATTTTCAACTAGAGTGCAATTTAGTTGTGTCTTTCCTTACCTTTATAATGATTATATAGGAATATTTTATTAGTATTAAGATGGATATGTGCCAGTGAGTACGATCAGCTCCCTATTTCATACACATGAATTTTTCTAATTTACATAAACAGATATACAGAATACACACTGACACACAAGGACACTCAAATAATACCTGGTCAGATCTGACCACCTCAAAGATGTTGGGAGAAATGATAAAGTAATCCTGCCAATGCAGGAAATACTACTGAAATTCATGCGACCTTTAAAAATTAATAAAGCAGAGTTTTGAAACATTTTTTAGTGTTTCTTTTTTTTAATTGAATTTACTGGGGTAAGACTGGTTAATAAAATTATACGAGTTTCAAGTATACAATTCTACAACACATCATCTGTATATTGTATCATGTGTTTTTAATGATTTATTTGAAATTTCATTTATTGAATGTGAATAGTAAAATGATGGGGATTAGGAGTGCAGACTCTGACATAAGACATGTCTGTACATCCAATTTTGTGCCACCATCTTACCATTATTTCCTGCTCAAAATCTAGAAACTGATTTTGTTTCAATATCCATCTTTGTGTGATGCTGACCAACTGTATGCTTCAGCCCCATTCATTGCAATGCTGTCCTGGTGACTCCACCCACATGGCTACTCATAGCTAAGAGTAAACAAATGAGAGGTTTTTAACAATCAGATATTGTTATTGTGCCTTTTCGAAAGAGGTGACTGATTCTGAGTCCACAAAGAAAAGACAGACCCATTAAATACATCAATGTAAAAAGGGGGCTCATGAAAAAGAGTTCATATCTTTAAAGAGAAACACAAGAAAAACATTCGTCTTGTTCTGTCACATACCTACATATAACTTAGAACTGTGCTGGCTGCCCACCAACTGCTGTGAAGCCCAGGCTGCCAGTCTGAGGGTAAGAGCAGGATCATAGAAGAAATCTGGGTCTTTAATGCCACTATTGTGCTGCTGACTTAACTCTTCTTGTTCCCCTACATGGGAACAACTTCTTTTTTTTTAATCCTCACCTGAGGATATACTTTTATTGATTTTAGAGAAAGAAGAAGGGAAAGAGAGAGACAAACACTGATGTGAGAGAAACATCAATCAGTTGCCTCCCATATGCATCACGACTGGAGATTGAACCCACAGCCTAGGTATGTGCCCTGACCAGGAATCAAACCTGCAACCTTTTAGTGTATGGGATGATGCTCCAACCAACCACGCCACCTGGTTAGGGCTGGGACTTTCTACTGAATAATACTTTTCCCTTATTCTTTAAGCCAAATTGACACAAGATTAGATGTTAATGTACCCAAAGACATTCCAATTCTGCTAACTTGAGAATATTTATATTTCTACAACTAAAGAACTTTGTACACAACAGTTTTTAATGTTCTTTCAGAATTTTTCCAAATGTCCACATTTTAAAAACTACAATGTAAAAAGAAAAGGTCAGCATCCATTGCTAGAAAAACAAACTCATTCATTAGAAAAGTCTTATTTTCGGTTCTATAACTTTTTGATAACTTCAGTTATTTAGTCGTGTTAGGAAACTTAAGAAAACATCTTTAAAACTGCTATTATGTAGAGCTGTATTTAATGGATCTGCATTTTCTATGGGGATCCAGATAAAATCAGTCCCCTTTCAAAAAGGAAAATATAAAATCAGAATTGTGTGTCTCCTTGTAAGGAGGGAATCACCTCAAATAAAAGAAAAACCAAGAGAAGTCCAGGTTACTCTGAGAAAATGCAACATAAATGCACCTTTCTTCTTCTTCCTACCAACTTTTTAAGTTATCTATCTTTCCTGAGCTAAACTGCAGGGATCTGAGCACCTAGGCTAGAAAAATGTTAGTGAGACCTTGGGTTCTAATTGGCCCTAGACAGAGAAAAATGATATGAGGCTTTTTCCCCCAAAGTAAGAATTTACAGTATTGTATATGAGACTGGAGTATCAGTGGATCTTGGAATGAATGGGTAAGCAGAAATCTGTGGGCTCCAGGGGTAGTTACCAGGAGCCCATATGAATTTGCCAAGTTTCCTTGACCTCTGAGAGCACACAAAGGAACTAGATGGGTAGAGTTCCTCCTTCTGTCCTTTAGACTAGGAGAATATATGGGGACAAAAGTCTCCCTGAATGCCTCATCAGTAGACTGCAAGTTTCCTTGCAGGTACAAGTCAGTTTATTGGGTTAGAGTCAACTTGATTTCCCACAAGTTGGACAAAAAATGTACCAGCTCAGTGAATAAAGAAAACTAATGAGATATTTTAGAGAGGTAAGTAGTCAAGAAAGAGAAAGCAGAAATCCCCATACACAAACACAAAACAGAGGTTTCAGAGACAACATTAGAAGATTCAATTACAGGAAATTTGGGGGGAACTAAAAAAGAATCTATAATTTTCCAATTAAATAGTTTAACAGATGAATTGGAAGAAAGGATGGTCATTTTTGAGCTCTGAATTACTGGCCTGCAGGCTCAAGTGAAAGTAAAATCTCAAAACACAGAGTATAGACCTAACATGCAAAAAGCAGGAGATGTAAGAAGAGGGGAGGGATAGATTAAAGAGGCAATGATTTAAAAACTTCTAGGGAAAAAAATAACAAACTTTTTTAATTCATGAAAGACGTGAAACTGCACTAAGTGCTTCACCAATTGGGAATTCAGAAAAAGAGACCTAAGAAAGTTCTGATGAAATTCTTGATCAGAGCAAAATTTGTGGGATATGTGAAAAACATCAAAACTTGTGAAATGCATTTAAAGCTGTTTTAGTGAGGAATATGACAGCTTCAACTTCCATATCTTAGAAAAGAAGAATGGATAATAAGGAGTTAAGCATATAGTCCTACAAAATTAAAGAAGTAAAAGCAAATTAAGCTTAAAGATAAAAGAAATATAAAAGAAGACATTAATAAAATAGGTAGCAAGCAAACATACAACAGAGAGGATGAAGAAAGTTGGCTATTTGAAATAATTAGTAAAATTAGTAATTTGGGGGAAGACAAAGAAAAAATAAAGTACAAATGTGCACTAACAAACAAAAAATGGAGCTATTTACAGATGTTAAAAAGATAGTAAGGGTATTATGAACAAATTTTTGCAGTAACAATAGGGCAAGTGGGAGTTTACATAAATATTTTTGTGTATACAACAAAAAATGAAATAATAAAGCAGGGAAAGCAACTGCTAGATGAAGGACATTCGCCATTCACTCCTTCAATAATGTTCTAGCTGGTAGGGATACAAAAAAAAAGAGAGAGAAAGGTTGAAAACTCCTGCTAATGGAGCTTAAATTCTATTGTGTAAGATCATTCATTTCAAATAATTTCAAATCTTATTTTATAGATTTATGCAAAATAGTTTCTTATCATATTTTCAATTTTTTTCTGCATCTGTGGCTTTTTCTTTTAATTGTGTACTTGTGAGTTCTCACTTTGTTTTTGTTTTATTGTCTAAATTATCAGCAGATGGTTTTACTTATCTTTATGATTTAAGTGACTGTATTTCTTTTCTGTGTTCTTTAAATTATTCTGTAGAATGTTTAAACATTCATTTCTTATTTGATATAAATATAGGTTATTAAATTTTCTTTGAGCATTGCTTAGTGAAATTCAATCATATTTGACATGTAATGTTTTCATTATTAATATTTTCAAGAAAATCTGACAATTAGGTTTGGATATCTACTTTGACTCAAAAGTCACTTTAAGAGCTGTCTGTTAATTTGCTTTAATTTCCAGGTATTTCCCCCCATTTTTCTTACAAATTTCTAGTTTATTGTATTGCAGTATTATTTTCTCTTACTATTTCTATTGAGGTAAAATTACAAAGGTTAAAGACAAAGAGAGAATCTTAACGGCAGCAAGAGAGAAACAGTTACCAAGAAGGGAGTTCCCATAAGGCTGTCAACTGATTTCTCAACAGAAACACTTCAGGCCAGAAGGGATTGGCATTAGCATGAAGTATTAAAAGTAATGAAAAGCAAGGACCTGAAACCAACACTACTCTATCCAGAAAGGTCATAATTTAAAATTGAAGGTGAAATAAAGAGCTTCCCAGACAAAAAAAGGCTAAAGGAGTTCACTACC